ATAGTCATACATCTCGATGTCGAGATGATCAATCAAAGGTTTTTCAACATTAAAACTACCTTTTCCAATGGATTTGTGAGGGGCATCCGTAGTTCTACATTTTAAGGTAGCATCCTTATATAACGTTTTCCAATTAAGAAAGCTTGTACATAATCATGTTGCCTTACTGATAGCTACTTCCTACAATGATAGGATAGAATGCCATGAAGTCAGTAAAGAAAGCTAGTTATACAAGGATACCAAACATGTGAATCATTCCATCTGTTGCAGAGGCTGCGAGAATCTTCCCATTGTGGTTAAAGCAGATAGAAGTAACTGCTGGGGGATCTTTACCAAGAGGAAGGACTGTCTTCAAGAAAACACAAGATAAAACCAAGTCCAGGCATCGTCAAGCTAATATTCCAACATGGTTCTTACATCAAACAAGCCTAGTCATTTATGGAAAACTTACCATGGGTTTCCATGTCCTCATATTCCATACAGTCAATGAAGCGAACCCCAAGCTGTCAAGAGATCGAGTGTTTCTGCAAGCAAAAGTCCATCATTAGGGCACATCTTGAAACAGTAATCAGGCTACAATAGGTGCAGTAGTTTAACTGTAAGGCTGTTTCAACCACTGTCATTTTCAACTATCAGTACTTCTTGGTATTTTTATAAAAGCACTCATGCTTTTCCAATATTCCTGGTATTTACAGGAATATTGGGCTCTATGTGATTTAGAGCAGTACATGACATGTCACATTCAGCGGGTCTCTTGGAGTGGGCTTAGCTCAATAGACTCTATGTGAGTTAAAGCAGGCTGGAAGAGTGTCTTAGTGTGCTCTAGGACTATTGTCTTGGTGTGGTCTAAGGCCATGGCTGATAGAGTTGGATCTGCACTACAGGACTGATGTGGGTTTTGATTCCCAAAATGCATTTGCCAGAGTGAGTTTCATATGTAACCCTGTGGAGGCCAATTGAGTTTAGTGGTAGTTAAGGTTTACCAGCCAAAGCATGTACAGGCCTCTGTGTAAAAAATGGGCCTGGTAAGGACAAGGGCCTTAATCTCAACATAGCACGCATGCATGACTTCAGCATTGACCTGATAGTGGTCAAGGTCTTGGATTTTTTATCGGCATATGTATGTGCTAAAGAGAGCCCCCTCACTACTGGTATAGATACCTGAGACTAGTAGGCGAAAACCACTGCTGGAATTTGGTTGGATATGAATTGTCCTTGAGGGGAGCTCTTGCAATCCTAGATATGCTGATAACATATCTACTTCTACGCAGGATTTGATGGCCCAAATCATGAGCCCCATGTGTGAGATAACTTGTGGTTCATGGTCCATTAAGTTAGCTTGAGGGTAGGTATGGTTTATGAGTTTTATTTTGAAGTGCTTAGTGGACAAGGAATTTTTCTTCCGTGGCATGCACAATCTTCCAAAAGAATCTTTCAAGGATTTTTAGGGGTTTTTGAGAACAGAATAGTTTTAAATAGAACGAGGGTAGGCATGGTTTATGAGTGTTATTTTGAAGTGCTTAGTGGACGAGGAATTTTTCTTCCAAGGCATGCTCAATCTTCCAAAGGAATCTTTCAAGGATTTTTAGGGGTTTTTGAGAACAAAATAGTTTTAAATTTTCTATTTTAATCATCTCAATTGTGTTTAATGATTTTGATAAATTGAACAAGGGTTTTAGAAATGAAATTTTCTTTTGAAGTCGGGGTTTTTGGAATTAAACTTCTGCATTCTTATGAGCCAATTTGAAGGGTTTTTGGAGATCGTGTGGGACAGAAAAGTGAGCCCTGTTTTGTGGACCACACCAATGACAAGAGAGCCATGTGGACCCCACTAGCCATGGAGATCACATGGCACACATCCCTAGGCTGGAAAGGGCGGCATGGGGGGCATGTCTTGATCTAGAAGATATGTACACCAAATAGAACAACTAGATGGAATCTAATTCCAACATTGATTTCTAAGAGTTTATTTAATTTTTGTCAAGTCCAGTCGAGGTGATTAGAATCCTACTTAGTCAGGACATAATCTTGGAAATTATTTGAATATTTTGAAAGATTTAGTTATATGGAAATCTAATTCTAGTGTTTCTAGAATTGGACTTCATGGAAATTGGAAGATTGATGGAGGAGTACTACTGGGGTTAAGGGTATAATTCCAGCCCTTAGATCATGATGGCTGATTAAGGGTTGAGATTATAGCTCCATCACCTCGTAGGTTTCCCACTTCTAAAGTAGATGCCCTGTTGGATTTTCTGTTGTGATGGTCAGAAACTTTAATGTTAGTACCTTGTAACACCTATACCCCCCAACTCACAACCGATACTAGGCCCAGTTCCTTGCACAACTGGGTGGACTGACCTGTCTGCTCCGGTCTTTATAACATGTGTGCGTGTGTGTGGGTTTCAATGGAATTAAGTGAGACTCTTATTTCCTTTATGCACTACACATTTAAAAAAAACAGTACTTAGGAATCATAGAACATGCATATACTTGTAATCCAGGAAGGAAACACCAGAAAACCACGAAGGGCATTCAATTCTTCCAAGAATGCATAAATCAAATATATCCACTGTTCATGCGGAAGAATTATTCCTATTTCAAATCATGTGGTAAGCTCCTGATTCGTTACATCTTTTATTTGGTTATATTTCTATTGCTTTAAATCAATCAATCAATCACACACACATACACACACACATGCACGTACGCATGCACGCACGCTCCTGATTTGTTACACCTTTTATTTGGTTATTTTTTTATTGCTTTAAATCACACACACATGCACGAACACACGCACGCACGTGCACACACACTTACACACACACAGTGACCGACCAATATGATCTTAATTAATTTGTTTGTTATTTTTAAAAAAATTGTTAATAATGAACTCACAAGTGTTATTCGCTTTGTAATATTAGTATTGTCTTGCCCTAATCAAGTGATGACAAACCCTTCATGTAGGTACGGATGTACAAGCCACATTTATATAATAAATTTTTCCGTGGATTGAAGAGGGGATATTAAGCCTAATGTACAGCGAAAGTCAAAACAACTCTAAAAGCATACCCTCTTGATGCAGCAGAAGAGACAAAGATTGGTTCCATTGGGCTGCACTTCAAGTCCAAGACACTGCAAGCATGAGAAAAACCATGAGGAGATTGGCTATTCAGCCAATCCAAAACAGAGAATTGATTAGAAGCAAGAGCAACAACTGAAGACCTGGGAAATTCTGCACTAGTGGTCAGGTCACAAACAACTCGTTTTGCATCCACGTTCCATGCCTTAATACCACCATCAGCTGTGCCTATGAGCAGCTATTGTCAAGAAGAATAATGAAAAATTTGTCCAACTGAATCATACGATCTAAAAGTAACACATTCACTACTTCACTTACAGAACAGGTTAGGCATAAATTCCAATCAAACTCATCAATATCATAATCATCAACAATGAGCCCATGTAGACATACCAAGCGGTCCGATCTAAATTCCCATTCAAGTGACATTATCTTGGCCCCACAATATATAGTCGCATTTCTAGACGTAGGGGTTGATGAATCATATGTCCAGATCCTTTATAAGAAAAATCAAGATGTAAGCAAATGAATTTGTATTAATTGGATGTATGACATATCAGGATTGAAGTTTCTTCCCATTAATTGAAAACAAAAGGAGTAAGTTTTGCTCCATCAATTGAACAAACTAGAAGTTTGTGTAACTTGTACTGGTAAGTACCTTACGGTGCCATCCACAGAAGCACTAGCAATATTTGTTCCAGAAGCTGAGAAGCGGCACTTAGTAATTGGACTTGTATGTCCTGAGAAGGTTTCCTGTTTTTGCTTTTAGAAATAAATTAGATCTTCGATACAACCAGTGAATGGAGAGAACACTTACCAATTGAAATTTATCTAATCCGTATTTAGATGGTAGAATACTGCCCTTTAAATCCAATTATATAAGATAACTAGAGACAGCAGAAGCAGTTCACCTGAAAACCAACCCTTACTTCTGGAAAATCTTCTTCTTTTTGTTCATTGCCAGTGTGATCTGTTACATGACATCCAGGGTTACTTAGCCCAGTGATCCCAAAAATGTGATTTCTAACTTCTAAGGATTAGGCATACAAACATGTATCCATTTTCCTTCCTGAAAATAAATGTTATACATCCATTCAAAACTATTGGGAAGCTCTAAAGGCGTCAACCAATTAGCAGTGTTGCAAGTACGACATCATGTCACTGAAGTCCAAAATGATGCTACATTTACAAATGTATTTACAATCCACAACTAGAACCAGACTATATTAGAAACTTGAATATTAAAAAAAAAAAAGAATAAGACAATACAGCATAGATGAAAAATTATTATAGCATTATGATATTGATTTTAAGAAATTATTTGGACATACATAGGCACCATTTGATTGTTGAATTTCATCAAATCATGTTTCTGTTCTTTTTTCTCAAATTGTGTAATTTTGCAATTTGGTTCATTGTCATGTGCTGTCTAGAGGCATTTGACTATTCTAATCTAAACTGCAAATTTGTATTTTGCGGTACGAAAGTGGTGGTGGGGAGGGTGATGGTGGTGGTGCGATAGTAGTGGTGATGGTGATGGTTATGGTGATGGTGATGGAGGAATGGTGGTTGGAGTGGTGGTGGCAGCAGTGCAGTTATGGTGTTGGTGCTACAGTGGTGGTGGTGGCAGAGATGTGATGGTGGTGGAGCGGGTGACGGTGGTAGTGGTCGCTACGCAATGGCGATGCTGGTGGTGGAGTGGGTTGTGAAGTACTGGTCCTGGTGGTGGCAGTGATGCGATAATGGTGAGCGAGTGACAGTGGTAGTAGTGACTAGGCAATGGCGATGTTGGTGGGAGAGAGAGGAGTTGCATCTTTTTAAAAGTACATTTTTTTCATAAAATCATTACAAGTGGTTTTGCTAGATTGCAATTAGTGCCCCAAATTGTAATTTGGACTCAAATGCAATAGAATTTGGGCCAAATTGACAAACAAACATGCTTAAGCTCAATTGTATTCAGCCAAATTGTAATTTGGTACAAAACTTGCAATTTGGACACAATTTATCTGGGAAAAGCACACAAACACATGCCCATCTTACCCTGTCAATGGAATGCAACCACAGAAAATGATTTTTACTGCAATAGACCATGACACTATGGGTGTTTAGTATATTATGACATTCAAGTCATCGTAGCGTCTATCAAAAATAATTGAACTGGGATTAAGTTTTGATTAGCAAAATCAAGCATCAAGAGAAATTTTTCCAAAAAACGGTCTAGAGCATGCAAATTATTTTCACATCTAACCAGAGTGGCAAATGGAAAGAACAAATGAAAGAAGAAAGCACATCCCCATTTCTACATGCAACTAGCAAAGATGTGTATTCTCCTTCAATGCACAAGTCAGCCGTATAGGTCAAATAACAACCTGAATCACTATTTCTATAAGTAGGGGTATCATTTTGCCCCCCATCTGTAGGAGTGAATTGTTTTCGAAAATTTGTATAATCGTCTGGCTCAAATAGTTGCAAATGTGATGTATAGCCATGAACGGGATGCATTTTTCCTTCCATTTCACTTGAACTAGAGGAGGAAACAGCAGCAGAAGTCTGGCCGATATCACTTGCTTGAAAATTGTTCTCCTCAACCACTCCCTTCGAAGAAGTTCCTATTGAACGGTCTTCAACACAACTGTCGATTTGTAGCATGGTTTCTGATATTGCTGCTATATCAGAACTGCTTGGCAAAGAAATAGTGAAATTCCATGAGAAAAGCAGGCTGCATGAGTACAAGATGCTTCTCGTTCCTAATACATTCATTGTTTGCACATACACAACTGAATATATCAGTGTTTATGGCTAAACACGAAAGCGTTTTTTTTCTTTTATTCGTGTTATCTTTGATTATATATTAGTCAAAACCAAATACCATAGACAATACTCCCAATAAAAAACACACATACCTCTTGAGGCGGCATAGTTCAGCCTCTTTCTTGCCCAACAATTCCTCAAGTTGTGATAGCTTATGGTTCAGTTGCTTTATGTCTTTCTTGAGTCGCTTGACATCATTCTTTTCAGAGGCAACTTTCAATAAGGTAGGAAGACGTGAACTGGTTAAGGAGATGCACTCTAATAAAATCATTGTTGCAAAGAAAGTAGATGGAAATGATTTCTCCAATCAGAGTAAGTTCAACAAGTCAAGGAAATATGAATTGTTAAGGATAAGCCATGATATTTGGCAAATTCCAAAAATCAAGAATGGAGACCCGGCCAAGTATTGTTGAGGCTCAGCCAAGTTGACTCGATATGATCCATCTTGGGACAAGACCGAGTCTCGAGACAAGTAAGAGGTTTAAAATCTTGGCTCCTATCAACCCACTCAGAAAGCACACCTAAAAAGAAAATAAATTATTTACATATACTATATAGAAAAGTCTTGCCTCGTCAGTTTGAGGTATACAAAGATACCAATAAATGAAAAAGGATGCAAATACCATTTCACATGGAGAAAACTTCATCAGACAATCTACCGAATTATCAGAAACACAATAATGACAAGAGAACAAGAAGCCAAAAAAAGCAAGCTAGGAACAGAATTTCCTTTCCATAACATTTTTTATGATACTCACTCCCATGAACACAGACATAAACTAGACCTACCATCCAAACACAAAAGACAATGCTTCCATGACATATCATAATGAAGGATATGAGTACCATTGAAGACCTCACTTAAGAAATTTCTGAAGGACAGAAGCAAGGCATCGTACCACTCCTTTGAGAAATAAACACGAAACTGGGGTTCTAAACTTGGGTTGTTCAAATATGGGATAGCTGCATGGCATATTTAGAATCATTAGCTCATCTGATGCAAAGCGAGACCAACACCAAACCATAACAACCATTTACTAAAAAAATTAAAAAGAAAGAAAGAAAAGAAAAGAAGCACACCAAACCATGGGGTCCAATCCTCATTTCTTTGCAACAAAACACTTGCATATCGTCTGAAGAATTCGAAAATTTTGTCTTGTCTTCCGGACTGTAATAAATGGACGATGTAATAGCGTAAAATTGATACCTCCAACTTCGACAAAGTGGAAATAAATAACGTCTCAGAAGGTGTTGACAAACATTGCCTGAGGAAGCTCATCAAACCAACCAAATTTTCTGCCTCATATTTTGGTATATATACTGAAAAGACCAAATCCAATATCTTATCGACTTGAAACCCTTTAGCAATATCCGTGGTCAGCTCTGTCTCAAAAGCATGTAAAGAATTTGTGAAACCTCTAAAAACAAGAAACTCCCTGACAAGCTCTTCGGCATATTGCATGTTGTCCATGCTAATCTGGAAGCACAAAAAAACAGTACGTGTAAAACCATGATAGAAACAATAGCTTATAAGCCAGAAACCTTGCTTATCGATGTTCAGCACTCATATCCACATGCATATCCAATAGGCACACCTAAAGTATGAGAACCATGATAATGTCATAAGGTGGAGTAGTCCAGGATTTCCCTATGATATGCTTCCAGTCTCAAGCAAAATTTCCTCATGTCATGATCATCTTATGTCTAGTCAATTCTTAAACACATTCGTCGTTACTTGTTAATAGAAGAAATCACAAGACAAGAAAAAACTGTCTCATAGTTTCTTAGAAGCATTACAATTTTTTATGATATGGTTTTTCATGTTCGGTGGTTAAAAAAAGGTGTATCAGTAAACAAAGACAGAACAAAACCAGTGTCCACCCAAATTCCAAAACACCACTACTTAACTTTGGTAACAATGGCATTTGGGGATTCATGATTGAGTCATTGTGGGCCACAACATGCCTAAGGTTTGAGTTCCAGTACTAACCAATGAAGGAAATGGAACAACCATAGTTGTCAGTAAAGTGCTCCAAAAATTGAGTGATTGTGAAACGCTAACAAAATTAAGTTGAACCACTCAATGGGATTCCGGCATTTGGCTTGGTGATTACAGTATTTGGGGCGACAAAACAAAGTTCAAGGTTCAAGGTCCAAGGTCCAAATTCCACCCCAGACCAACAAAGAGACGGGAAAAAAAAAGAAGAAAAAAAAAAAATACTAGAGCACCCATTGTCTCCACAAAAAACTCTGATGGTGAGAAATGTGTTTCCAAGCAAATGAATTGCAGATGTAAAAACTAGTTCACGGTTTGAGAACATGGGAAAATCTGTATGAAATGCATGTGAAACATGTTTGGATGTGTGAAACACTCACCAAATTGAGTGAACTACTCTTGTATTGAGACGTGTGAGCGAAACATGAGCGGAACTTGTGAAACATTTGTGAAGCATTTGTAACATGAATAAATGTGCACAAAAAAATTTCTGAATCATATGTAAAACATGAAAGAGATATGGCACACGATACTAACTTTAGAGAAAGGAGGGAAACAATGAGAGAGTACTCACAAACTAAGAGAGAGACAGTATGCTCTCTAAGGCTTCATATCTTCATCATCATCAGCATCATTAAAGCCTTATCCCAACTATTCGGGGTTGGCTACATGAATCTTGTTTTGTCATTCTGACCTATCAAGGGTCATACCCTCAGTGAGACCATAAGTCCCCATATCTTTGATGGCTACTTCCATCAATGTCTTTTTAGGCATTCCCCTTGCCCTTTTAGAGCCTTCCACTTAAACCAAATCACACCTCCTAACCGGTATTGCATTCGGTATACGCTATACATGCCAGCCACCTAAGTCTATTTTTAATCATCTTGTTGCCTATTGGAGCCACCCCTAAGTTCTCTAAGGCTTCATTTGCATTTCCTAAATGTCTTCCTGAACATTTTTGTCTACTGTCCATTCATTTTTCATATACTTCATAAACGCTTACGTATATGTTTCGAGACCCCCACCTAAAAAAAAAAGAAGAAAATCATTTCCCATATGCTCTGGGGATTCTTCCTAAATGATTCGGATATGCTTCTCAATGCATTTTTTAAGGACTCCATAATGTTCCTTCATTTTGCCATTCCTGTTATGTTTCTCACACTTTAGTTTGCAATTCACTTCCCAAATTTGCTTGTTGTTCTGGTAAATATTGGAGCACCACCCCATCTGAAAAAAGTCGACAAGAACATCCTTTGAGAATGTGCAATACAGAAGAGCCAGTTTCTCATTGAACTAATCAGCTTGGGTATTTGCATGAACCTCATCGACACCAACAAGGGCAACAGTGCCCTCTCAAGAGTTACCTTAAGTTGCATCATTACAATATTAATTTTGGAGTCCTAGTTTAATTCTTTTTCTTTCATGCATTTTGTTATTATTCAAGGATTGTATTGGTCATAGCTATTAATGTGAAACATAAAGAATTCCATAAGCCATAATTTGACAATAAAGAAGTAATTCTCTACAACTTTGGAGCTACATTTCTCTTCCCTTCCTTATCCCCACCCAAACCCCTCCTATTTTTTCTTTTCGAGGTGAATACCCCCTCCTATTTTGATTGGTAAATGTTATCCTTCCTCATCTTTCTCTACATTTGTATTAAATTTTAAACACCAACATGGTATCAGAGACTATGTAGAGTATAGATGTGAAGGAAGAGGTAGGAATTGGTTCTAGATAAAGCAATTTATTATTGGTTCTAGAGATAGCAATTTATTCTACATTCCTATGGAAGATTGCAAGCTTTGGGATGACATACAAACCATACACATTCAGGCCAAAATTCATGTATCACATACACAAACTATATTTACTGTGAAATTCCATGAACTCTTTGGAAAGGGACTTGAAGTCTTGAACTACCTCTCCATGTCGTTCATCACATAGCTTTGGCTCTTCCCCTCGATCAGTACCCCAAAATCATTTTCTTTGTCTTATCATTCTTAAGAAGTTTGTACACCATAACCTGCCTTTCATCCAATTGGACCTTCTCCTTCCTTATCTGATGAGTTCCATTAACTTTCTTGTGCTCTCGCATCATGAAACCACCATTATGTTTTCAGGTTTCACCCCCTGCTGCTGCTATGCCTCCTCAAGTTGCAATGCATACAAACTATTTCAGTCTAGATTATAGTTACCAGGATCTTTCAACCAAGGGATCGATTGCTCTCCGAAATCTCGCTCATTGCTCCAACATGGGACTCTCGCTCCTTCACAAATTTTAAACTCTGGAATCAATAGTTCCTGTTAGGAGCCAAGATCCTGAGTTCTAGGGGATCCAATCCCTAGCAATACAGTACAGTATAGTGTACTATTAAATTGAAGGTGCAGAAGAATTGAAGGACTTCCCACCGATCAGTTTAGTTAATTCTACCTACAAGATTTTATCCAAAGTGCTTCCCTCAAGGCTCAAAGAAGTCCTTCCCTTCGTTATTTCTCTCTCCCATTGTGCTTTCATCAAAGATAGGAAGCTTTTGGATGGGGTTATGTGGCGCATGAGTGTCTACACTCTAGGCACCTAGCCAAACAACCGAGTCTAATCTTCAAGATTGATTGGGAAACAATCTTGGGAAAAGGCGTATGACCACGTTTATTGGTCGATACTGAACGAAACAATGGCTCGAATGGGGTTTGGGGAGAGATGCAGAAAGTGGATGAGAGGCTATTACCCCTCCCCTTTTTCTTAATGCTCATTAATGGAACCCCGAAAGGCTATTTCCCTTCGTCTAGAGGTCTCCAGGAAGGAGACCCCCTTTCCCCTTTCTTATTCACTATTTCAGTAGAGGTTTTCAGTTAGTCAATCTCCCATATGTATCAATCAGGTTGCCTCTCCAGCTTCAAAAGCAGCCCTAGGGGCCCTATAGTCTCCCATCTATAGTACGCCGATGACACTCTCATCTTCATAGATGCTACTCTGCGGGAAATTGAGACCTTGCACCTTTTCCTTAAATGCTTTGAGTTTTCCACAGGTTGCAAAGTTAACATGGAGAAATCCTTGATGATTGGAGTAGCTCTCACCTCAGTTGAGACTAGAAGCCTCATCCCTGACTGGGATTGCAAAGTGGAAGACCTTCCTATTAGCTACCTAGGCATGCCGCTGGGCTTAGGAAAATTTAAAAAGAGGCAATGGTCCCACATAATAGACAAGGTTGATCGTCGTCTTGCAGGGTGAAAAGGAAGGTTCATGTCCTTCGTTGGTAGATCCACTCCCATTAAGGCGACCCTGGTCAATATCCCAGTGTATATCATGTCCCTCTTCCACTTGCTAGCAGCTGCTGCTAACCATCTATAACAGTTAATGAGAAACTTCTTGTGGACTGGTGACACCGAATCCAAAATATACCACCTCATGTCGTGGGAAAAGTATGCCAACCCAAGCACCTTGGCAGACTTGGTATCCTACTTCTTAGGAAACAGAACACGGCCTTGCTTGGCAAATGGTTGTGGCACCTTGCAACTCAAAACAATCACCTCTAGGCCCAAGTCATCACAGTAAATACAGAGTCCCATCCAACACTTGGCAGCTGAAGGGGAGAACCCCCAAGCAAAGCGTTCGGGGCATGGAAGTTCTTGTCTTCTCCTGCACTATTCTAGCAAAACATCCACTTCCACCCAAGGGGAGGACAACATATTCAGTTCTGGTCTGATCTTTGGATGGGCCACACCCTGCTCTAGGACCTGTTCCCCTCTCTCTTCTCGTTAGCCACTAATAAGTCATCCTCCATTGCCGACGAGATGCCCATCTCCGACAATCTTAGGGTCTAGAGTCAGTCTTTCAGACGCCCCCTAACAGACGCTGAAACCTTGGACTTCCTGGCCTTGTCCTCTTTGCTTCATTCGACATTCCTAGCACTCTCTAGAACTGACCGCCTAGTGTGGACCCCATCCCCATCAGGTTCTTTTTTGGTGACCTCTTTCTTCAAAAGGTTTATGCAGTCACCCACCTTTCCCCTCTCTCCGACATCTGTGGTTTCTAAGGTGTGGTCGACTAGAGCTCCACTCAAAGTGCAATCCTTCAATTGGATTGCCATCTCCGAGATACCCTTGGACACCCCGGGCTGGCAAGACTGGGTGGGGTCTTCCGAGACCATCACGATGAGATCCTGGCTTCCTTCTCCAAATTTATTGGCGATGCGGACTCCCAGCTAGCAGAGTCCATGGCGCTCCTCACTAGTCTCAAGAAGTCAAGATGACCAACCCCTTGTGGGATCAACTACTGATAGTTGAAGGAGAAGCCCAAAACATTATTTTTTGGGCCCCAGGCTTAACTCCTTCCCCGTGGTACCTCGCTTCGATTTATGATGAGATTATGCACTCTTGCAAGGATACAGCCGTCTTATGGAGGCATATCTTGGGGGAATCAAACGTCCTGGCGGACCAATTGGCAAAAGATGGCGCATTGTCAAGTTCCGCAGGTGCTTGAGAACTCAATTTTTGGGGTCTCATTAGACTTTTTGTCAATCTACCTATGGACTTTTGGGACCCTCTTGTTATTTGGGTTCTTATGATTTTGTATAATCTCTGTAATGGGCGAATCTATTCTATGAGCCTCCAAGATCATTCATATAGAGAGTTCGGACACACAGCCACCAAGTTTAAGAAGTCTCTCTTTTTTATTGGTCTTGAAAAGCATGTCACATGCAACTATTGTAAGGTTTTGTCCCGGAAATGTAACAATTATAAGGCTTTTGATCACACAATCAATCAACGCAAGAAGAAACCACAGACTGGAAGAAGGCTATGAGACCCAACATTTTAGTTGCAGTGTGCATCTAACTGCACCTCCATAGCTAGCAAGAGTAAGCTTGATTGTTTCACCGCATCTTCTTCATCTCAACCCCAAAGGCACCTTCTCATCTGAAATGCAGATTCACTTAAAAAAGCCTTGATATCTACTGGATTCACAGGCATACCACCTTCTCACTTTTCTAAGCTATGAATCCTTGTCTGAGAAGCTTTCCATCATAAGACCTTCGGCTCTTTCCATATTTTTAATGTGCAACTGTCTCAAGCTACTACCAAATTTTTCACTAAAATAGTTCCATGATAGAAATATGTCATGTAGAGTCAGTGTCCATCACGCTGCTACCCTCCTAATGTCCTTTATGTTTCAAAAGCTAGCTAGGAGCCTCATTTCCAAAGGGGAAATTTTTTAAAACAGTTGCATTGACGTGCTCTCTAGACAATGATTTCTCAGACAAGATCAACAGACTTGGACAATGATTAGAAGGGTGTCCCTTCTATTGAAGATTGTATAAAGAGCCTTATCCTCGTCCAATCAATCTTGTGAAGTGAGGACATCATTCTCTACTACAGGTGTCCAGAAACCTATTTAATCCACTTTTGTAGATTCTCATGAACTCCTTGCAAGAATATATTAAAGAGGATGGCTACAACTTGAAGAAAAAAAATTGAATAAATTGTTCTCGAGAACCAAGTATCAGACAACACCATTTGGACATAGTGAATAGATAAGATTAACGTTAACGTTTTCTTGTGTTATGAATCAAGGGTGAGAGCCGATAGAACTAATTCAAAACAAGAGCAGTATTTTAAAGAAAAACAATAAGGATTCAAATGGATTGTATGAATTAGAAAAAATTAAAAAGACATTCTAGAATTCATGTAAAAAGAAATCTAATCATACAAAAACTTAAAAATTCTTGGTTTTACAAGATTTATTTTCTAGCTGTACAAAAACTTGAATTTCACAGAAGCATCATTTTTAAATTAATTATGTTTTTATTTGTTTAGATATGGTTTCTTGGTTCTTATACCTGTAGTTATTTTAATTTCCAGCCAGTCAAGTTTTGCTTGAGATTTGTTTCGCAGCACATTCACAATCTCAAGACAGTAACAGAGTTAAAAAATTTCTTAAATAATAAACAATGAACCTGTCTTAATTATGCCCCTCACCCACAGCTACAGCTCACCCTAACAAACCAAAATGCAAACAATAATAAAGAAGCATTTGAGAGAATCATCCAGGACATACTTGAAACAAAAGTAATGTACTTTCCAGATAAAACTTCAAATTACAAGAAACCCCATTAGTTTGTGGAAATGATGTTTCCCATAAAGAAAAAGAAAATGTTTCCCATAAAGAAAAAGAAAAAAGTAGAATCGAGTGATCTATAGCTTCGCATGGAACTAAAAGACAAAAAATATAAATCTAGAATTCAATAGCCACAACACGATGTCGATGCAGGCAAATTATTAATAAGTTCTCATAAATAATTTAACGCGAGATCCCTATTCCCACATGGGAATCAACACTCAGTAATATATTTCATGAACAGAAAGAAAAACATATATAACACACACCAATCAAAGCTTCAAATGATCACAGTTGGATTCTAAGCACCGAGCCAGAGATCAATCAAGAGCAAATTGTCTATTCCAGTCGATAATCCAAGAGAAAGGGCTATTTCAAAAGCCCATTTCAAATTTTCGAACTGTAAGATAACTTAATTAAATCTGGGAATAGATGGGATTAGCGCCGTAACATATTACACCAACGTACCCGATTGAATCGGGCCGATTTGAGGTTTAAGGATATGAAATAGTAATCGAATTTTAATTTATTTTTTATAAATTAAAAATAAAAAATTTTAAAAAATATTAAAAAATTATTATACATTAAATAAATTAACTAAAATACTTTTAAAAAACTTTAAAGATATTTTGGTTATTTTTTTTATAGATAATTTATTTTATATTTTTATTAAGTCTATCTTGATGAAAAAAACACACATCTAAAATTTCAAATGATTTGAATTTGTAAAAAAAATAAAATAAAATTTAAACATTATCGAACATTCGTGATCGTCAAATCGATTCAAATTTAATATGAACCATTAAACACATATATTCCTATAAGCAAGTGGACTAATCCCATCTTTTTCCATTAAATCTAGGGTTTGCATTAAAGCATAGAATGGAGAATACCTCAAAGTTTGAGCGCATGTATATACTTTATTAACAAGTCTCTTACATTTGGCATAGTGTGAAGTTAGCAAAATATAAAACGAACTCGGCGCACTTGCCACTTGATATCTACCACGAAATTTTGCCAAGATGTAGTTCTAGTGTGCCTGAAAACTTATTTCGTAATGAGAATTAAGCAGATTTATAAATATTTTAAAATTTTAAAAAATAGATAATTTAGAGAACTTATTGATAACTAGTGGTCGCAAGTGTATTGCTCGTGTTTTAAAGCACTCTAAAATGAAATTAAATGACATTGATTCATATTGCATGAAATAAAAACATTATACATATTATTGTAAATAAAAGATTTATTATTTAATAATGCACATTCCATGGAGTGAAAAATAAATATTGGTATGTATAAAATAAGAAGAAAAAAACGTGCCCAAAAAAAATAAGAAGGAAAGAAAATAAAAAATATAACTAAGTTAAGAGTCTCATGAAGAAGAAAGATTGATACGTAGTTAAGATACATGAAGTATAAATTTATTTTATAAATGTGCACGTAAGCTTGAACAATTGCGAGGTATTTGATAAGGTTTTAGCACAATTTTGTAACTTTAGATATTGTTTATGTTTTCGAGTTGTTTTCTTGATTTCCCCTAATGTTCTTTCTACCTACATTATCTCCGTCTCTCTACCTAGAAAAGATCACATATTCTTCTCTCTTTGTCCCTCCTTCTCTTACTTCTATCTATTTGTCTCTCTTTTTTATCCAAAATTTTGCAACTTTAGATAATTTTTTTGATTTTGAGTTGTTCTCTTGAATTTTCCCTCCTTTTCTCACATCTATCACATATTCCACATGTAATTTTTTTCAATTTTTGCGTGATTATTGTCTCTCTTTCTCTCTCTCTCTCTTTCCCGTGGTGACCCTAAATATTAGAGCGTAACCTTTCTATGATTCCCCTACAACATAAAATTTATATACTTCCCCTTATCCAACCGTCCATTCTAAATAGAGGGCTAAGATTACCCCAATCACATTGTCACGTCTCTACACTATTTTATTTTTAATATTTTTTTCTACAAATTATTTTAACACTAAATTTTGTATGTTCATTCCTCTATTAAATGTGCATTAGTGAAAAATATAAAACAAATATTTCTAATAAAATAAAATGACCAAAATACCCCTAAAAGATTCAAGGGGTATTTTAGTTATTATATTTTATCGAAAAAATATTTTTAATATTTTTATAGGTGTGCCCCAATGAGAAGATGGCATGTACCAAATTTTATATTCATACAATTTGTATAAAAAAATTAAAAATAAAATATTTTGAGACGTCAGATCTAAGATCAAATTGTGAGTGGCTCTCTTGATCAACATTGGACTGTTGGACGGTAAGGGAAGCATATATCTTCTATGTTGCATGTAAAGAATAGAAACCTTTCCCAAGAATAGAACCCATGAGTTCTTTTTTTTTTTTTTTGTCATAATTATTCTCTCTCTCTCTTCAATGGTGGCCCAAATATTAGAACCCAAGAGTTATCTTTTATTTATCTATTTTTTCTTGTTTCTTATTTATTTTTTCTTGCTTCTTAGTTATTTTTTCTTTCTTGTTTCCTTTAATGTTTCCAAGGTTATTTGAGAAACCCAAGAGTTTCATAAATAATATTTTATCATATTTTAACTAATTTATATAAAAAATCACTAATCCAAAGAAATCAAATGCCAAAAGCATCATTTTTGTGGTAGCAAGTTAAGAGAGCATAATAGTCATTTTCTTTACAAAAAATAAAAAAATATCATGAGTGAAAGAGTTACTTAAAGGTAAAATTCAAAGTTTTTATTTGTATTTACATATGTATAAAAACAACACGAAATCGACGACCAAATATTAAATTAAGATCATACAATTCTTGAATTACCAAGCATAAAAAAAGACAAAATTACATACATATCGTAACTTCCTAATATAGTTTCATCCATATTTTGCCTAAAGTTACACGATCACCCCTTGGGTGGCCAACTTTTTTTGTTTTTCCACAATTTTGCGTCCCTATTTGACATCATTGAACATGTGGAAAGTTCACTTTTTTTTTATTTGGTTTTCACATTATATGTCCTATAATTATCGATTTTCATATTAAATTTTTTTATTTTTAAAAATAAAAAATATAATATGTTGGCATCATGATTTTAAAAAGAAATTGTATATATTTTTTAAATTTTAAAATTTTCAATAGAGTGCTCTTTTTATTAGTTTATAAAATATATTGAAATTTTTATTAAAATTTTAGAAAGATAATTGATGAGAATAAATGGATGATTGCATGCCACCCCTTTTAATTGTCTACTCTCTTATCTTATAGCCTATCAGTTGCACACCCAAATTTTTTCGATTGGATAATTTTGTTAAATTTTCAGATTTGATATTTAATATTTATCATTATTGTTGTTGTTAATAATATTATTGTGAATATTCATTATTTTTATATTTTAAATATTTATTATAAAATATCATCAGCATCATTAATATTATTGATATATATTTATCACTATTGTTAACTATTATTGTGAATCTTTATTATTTTTATATTTTAAATATTTATTATAAAATATTATCAACATCATTAATATTATTGATATTTCATTATACTATGGGATTATAACATAAAAATAGAATATTATATTGTAATAATACCATGTAACATTATTATAATGTTATTGCGATGTTATTATTATCATCAACATCATAATATTCTTCTTTTATAATAACATTTATTATAATATAATACTATCATACTATAAAAGTATTGTTATAGAATATTATGGTACCATCTTATGTTATCTTAATATATTAATGTCATATTAAGTTCATATTATATATTGTGTATTTCTTATAATTCTTATTAATATTATGATTTCATAGGTATATTATTATATAAAGGGTGTGGTTTCCATTGTAACCTTAAACAATCTAATTAAGGCACGCCTTCAAAATTTGTCATAACATATAATTTTGATGCAAAATATTTTTAGGATTATCTCAAAATCTATTTTTCTATCTAATTATAAATTTTAAACTTTAAAAATGGTTAAAATCAAGTAGATCTATAAACATATGAAAATGTTGAAATTGAACCGTCTAGATAATGTGTTGTAAGATGTACTACTTCTGGGATTCAAAATCTTTTTTTATTTCATATTCATAATGTTGGTGGTATAAGACCAATAGGTTAGAAATGCAATCTTTTTAAAAAAATTCCATTGTATAAAAACTCAAGGGCTTAAATGCATGAATATCTCAATACAAAACCATAATACATATATTACAACCTACAAACATGGTTTATACACATTTGAATGATAAAATTCAGCCCTAATAGGTCGCTTACAAATCCCTTACTAAAAAGCATAATTAAACTGAATACAATATCCAAATATTCACATTGTACACCTCTACAACATATTGCATGACTTGCACTCGCAATTCTTTATTATATCAAAATTATATGATAATTTCATCTACATTCTTCATCCTCATAATATCTCATATACATCATACACTTGATCATAATAATTCAATAAGACTGCAATTTGCATAAACAATAATGCATAGCATTAAAGCTCATACCGCAAGATAAAAAAAAAAAACAATCTCAATATTCATATAACATACTCAATTTAATCAATCATGAATCCATTTAATAACTGTAAATACATCAAATTAACATGCAAACATACATGGAGAAACCATGGTTCAAACCCCTTATGCCCGGGCCACGAAAGGGCTTTTTGAGGACTTAATTTTGTTCCATTGTCTAAGGCACAAGTGATAATAATAAATCAATAAGATCAATCCAATGGGAAGCAAATGATCATATTTATTTCATTTAATGAGGATCAAATCATGAGAGAGACATGTATGAAAATAGCCCTTCAAAATTTGAGAGAGATACTACACAAAATAAAGAAGTTATGATGAAACTACACCAAGTGGTCTATAAGGGACCACACGAATTTTTCAACATTAAAAAAGAAACTAAATGGACTATTTCTTATGCTCAAATATGATGAAATAAACATCTCATCAGTTGCATATTCTTAATAAAAAAATTTCAGAAAAATAAGATCAAGAAATCAAGTTGAAACTACTCAAGATCATGGAGTAAACAGGCTAGTCTGCATATACTATATGTATAGACTACACTATTGCTTTGAGATTATTCAAATATCAAGTTTTCATGACCAAAAGTGAAGAAATCTATTCAAGCTTTGATAATGGAAATGAGGTAGGAATTAAAAATATGAGAAGAAAAATCATTACCTTAATGAAACAATAGTATGGGCTTGATCACATAAATGATGGACTACTCCATAGAAAGGTTTCAAATGAAAGCTCAATGAAGAAGATAGTCTCATGGGTGACCACATTTTTGTCAAATGCTCTCTCTCTCTCTTTGAAGTGAATACTCAAGTTCTGATAATAATTGATCCCATAAGTTACTTTTATACTTAGATCATAAAGATAGATTTAATATTGATCCTTGATGCCTTAGATCAATAGCACATG